CATTAGAACAAAAGGCAAAGGGCTATTGAGCGTTCTGCACAAGCATTGGAAAGTTGCTTTTATTCAGCAAGTGGGTGCAACGAGGCAAGATTAATTTTCGTTGGGTTAACCAACGAAAATTAATCTTGCCTCGTTGCACCCACTTGCTGATCAAAAGCAACTTTCCACAAATAACAACATATGAGTGAGAACTGTGGGATTTAAATGAAACAAAAACTCAGCTGACCTTGGGCTTAAAGCGTGGACAAACGCGCTTTGTGAGGTTAAAGCATGACTATTGTGACGAACTATCGCGGACCATGCGTTTTTTAATGTGCCAACCTCAACTTCCTCGGCCGCTACCCCTATCTAGACGTACGAAGACCATCCGCGCTGTCTACAGTAATGGCTAGCGTATTATAATGGGTTCAAACCCTTTAGCTTACCCTCGTACAGTGTTGTTTCGTGGGCTATACGTTTACTTCCTGTTAGCAAATATTTAATTATGGACAATAGATTTGCATGCGCGTGAAAGGCGAGCCGAACATTAAGACCATGGAACACCGAATACAGATAGAGTTTTCACTTTAAAAGTATTAAGTGATTGCTAATCAGTTGCTTTGGCAAAGACGATCAAATGGGTTGCAATTCAAGAGAAAAAAATACGATCAAAATTACAGAAGTACTTAGTTAGACTGACTAATTTAATGCGTCTTAATCCCTAAAAAAGCTCTCGAAAATAGTGGAAATCAAAAGAGGATATAACGCTTATTACATAGATGTATACGGGTGCATACAGGATGGTGTAACATATTTTAATCAATTAAACAATAGATGGTACTTTGGGGCCACAGCAAGCGTGGCGGAGGTTATGATGACTATTGTACTAGAAACAGAGAAACCAGTTTTCAAAATTTTTGTTATTCATAATGGTGGAAAGGTTAGGAAGGTCATTCAAAAAGCGATGTACAGTACCACAGAAAGCGTCAGCAACCTAGATGACTATGGTATGACAACTAGCTCGCAAATAAAGTGCCATAGCAGAGGGAACGTCCTTTGAAATGACTCTACTTATACGCAGATTTGGTTTCTGTATGATGCACTGAGTGAACTCAATTTTGTATTTAACAGAACAGAAAGCCAAAACTTACTGGGGTATCGCCAGTTTTATGTTCCATATGAAACTAACCCAGTAAAACCCTGAAATTCTAAATTAATGCCGCCCTGTTGGCATTGGAGAACCCGAATGCAAGAAAGCCGACCAAGAGCCTAAGAAATGCCCTTAGAGCGGTTCCATAGTCTCCCTAATGTGCATAGGAAGGGCGCTACGCTCCAGTCTGTCGTATCGCTCAAAGACACTCCAACGTACAGAACGTTGCAAGAGTGCCTAGGGGAAGAGTCCCAAAATCAGTGAAAGTGTTGCCGAGATTGCTGCCAGAGATATAAAACCTTTCCCGAGGAATGAGTCCTTATTATGTATTTCCACTGACACGGCAAGCACTGTCAGAAAAATAGAGTGACTGAAACTTAACAATTGGACATGACTCTATTGCTAAATTTAAAAAAAAATGAATTCACCAGCTACCTTGCCCTCATCCTTCGCTTAGGCATTGGAATTCACTGTGGCCAGAAAAAAAGGGTTAAAGTGCAGAGGAAGAAGTGAATTGATCTGGCTGTCACACTTTTACCGTGACCAGCAAGAGGTTCAATACACACGAACGTGCATTGGCCAACTCAAAGGGGCCGCTTACCGAGCAAATGGACCTGTAGCAAATCCGTGCAAGGCGACGATCAGATGCAGTGTATAAGCCTCTGTCGATGTAAACATTGAGAACCGATCGCCAAAAAAGGCTGCAGAAACTACGAGTGAAAGCCGTCACCTCGGAAAGGGAGGTCTCGCGACAGAGTTTGCGAGGGCAGCGAACCGGATGTTCGATCCGGTTAAGGATTATCTGAACAATACCTGGGGGCGAAATGAGAATAAAGGCTCATAAAACTACGGGACACCTACTAAGAAGTAAAAAATATAGTGCAGAAGGGTGAGCTCAAGCAAGTTGAGTGAAATCAAATAAGCTGACACGCGATTTACAGAAACTGTTAATAAAGCGCCTCTAGGGCAAACATTTATAAAACGGTGGCCAACGATGAACGGAATGTACAGAAAGATGCTTAGCCAGAATCCCGTGGTGACATTGGAGACTACTCCGTACTGTCTAATCTGGCAACCACCTCTCAATGAAGACTGCATGGATGCTTTGCTCTGCGCAACGAACATATCGATGGTACCATCTTAATTAGTGGATCGATCGATCCGGCGTTCCGGTTCCGGTACGTCCAGTCGCCTGCGACGGCTTGTGAGTGGATTAGGGAAGAATGAGTCAAGCAGTGAAACGCAAAAACGGCGCTTACGCCATTGGCTCATAATGAGACTAAGAAATGAGGTTAACGGTGCAGAAGTCATCTACACCACTCAGTCACCTCCGACAACAACATCTAAAAATTACTATGAACAGAGTAGGATACAAGCTCAGCAGAAAGTAGGTCTTCTTCGCAGTATCCCGGTCACGAAATAATTTACTTCAGTAGAGGTTTGGAACGTCTAAATAACTGTACTTAGCGACGATGCAATTAGTCCCATCATAGAAAAAAGGAACTGGGGAAGATATCCGAAAAAATGAGCATTACTACTTTACTATGACTGATGCAAGTGAAGCACAACAAAAACAATGTTCTGCCAAACTGTTTTCTGAGAAGGACGGCATGCAATCAGACAGTCAGAAACTTTCACCCTCTTCCAGATAACCCAAAGGTACTGGTTTCATAAGATAAGGTTTGATATAAGGTGGATAAGTACTCATACATTAACTCGTATTTCCGAACGCAGATTAATGAATGAAAAAGATACCCCCAAGTGAATGATCGTTTAAGGCAGACGGTTAAAGACTTCTCACTGTCAAATACAACGCTGCCAGGACATTGCCCTTACCAAACGAACGGCGCACTATACAGTGGGCTTCCTTTCTACCATAAGAAACCGGCCACCATCGTGAACGCATGCGCAAGCACAAGGACGAGCTTCGGCGGCGCGAACGACAAGCTATACTGGGACCTACCCGCTGTCTTCTGTATGTGGCAAAAGTGGAGAAATCTGATATTTTTGGTGACTTTGGTGTATGAGCAGACACAAAATCCGCTAACTGTTACAGAGACGATGAACTGACAGGATGCACTGACCGTGAATAAGTTTTTTTACCCTACAGCCTTCAAGAGAGTTTGCAACCCCTAAACCACCCGAAATATAACGTTCGCTTCAGAGTGAATGCCCCTGTCGTGACAGAAACGGAGGATTCT